TGTGCTGGCTTCATTAACATAGAAGACAGGCAAGCTTTCCCTATGTGAGATCCCTCTGTCACACTAGGTGATGCAAACAGCTTTCTTTGGCTCATGGTATTTGCACAGTCCATTTGTTACCTTGTGTAAGCAGATATAAAATCATAAATAAGTCTGTCTCATAACAACATCCAAACACCCTGGGCCAACGACGTACTGACTGCAGAGTCACCCCTGAATGGCCATAAAACGGCCACAAATCTATGCAGACACTTCCATAAAACCAGAGAGCAAACAAAGTGAAAGCAGCATGCAGTCCGGATGCTGCCATAAAATCCGACAATCAATCAAAGCGAAAGTGGCATGCAATGCAGAGGGGAATTTCTGTTCCAGCGTGGGGTTGGTAAGACAGTGGAGCAAATGCTGGATGCAGATTGGGCCAAAGAGTGTGGCTGCAAACAGAGAAAAGGTAGTGAGTGCTCGAAGATACCTCTTTTTAAGAGTCTCCAACAAAGCAGGATGCGTGCCAGCCTTTCTGATGCCTTTACAGAGCCTGGCAAGTAGCAAATGCAAAGCTTCTCCGATAGAATTGCCATCCTACAGGTGAGCAACAAACACACGGGAAACACGGCAAATAATAAGCCACACCCAACAGCAGAAGCACATTAGCATATTAGGCCACACACCCCATGCCTTCCCTTGGCTTGTCTGGGCACCCCGCAGCTGCGGGGAGCCCAGGCAAGCTGGCCCTTGGACAAGCCAGGGGAGGCATTTAAATGCATCTCTGATCCTTCCAGCCCCCCCGGCCCACCCATCTCGGAGTAATGGGGGGTCACTCTCCAGGCCTTCCCTCTGTAGCCAGGCACCCAGAGGTTTTGGCTGTAGTGGGCGTGGCCAACTCTGAAGCCAGCCGGAACACTGTTCCTGTGTGTTCCTGCACAAAAATAGCCCTGAATTATATATCTACTAACAGAAAAGTCCACAGCTACAGAGACCTATTCCAATGCCGTAGACTATCTTGCTCCTGATAAGAGACTGGTGGAGGTTGCAGCAGTTGTAAAGGATGAGAGATGCAGCAGGCTGTTATGTTCTCCACCAAAAGCGATTCAGCAAGCCTCAAAGCAAGCATGAGAGACGCAGCAGGCTGTTATGTTCTCCACAAAAAGTAATTCAGCAAGCATCAAAGGAAGCAACGCGCCTCCCAGGCGGAGAATTGTCGACTTGTGCACTGTAGCATCGTGAGCTTTGGTTCCAGGAAAAAATGTGTCTGCCTGAAGAAGAATCTGTCGAAACACACAATTTTTGCCTGGGAGGCATGTTGCTTGCTTTGATGCTTGCTGAATCGCTTTTTGTGGGAAACATTAACAGCCTGCTGCATCTCTCATGTTTGCTTTGAGGCTTGCGGGATCGCTTTTGGTGGAGAACATAACAGCCTGCTGCATCTCTCATCATTTATGACTGTTGCAACCCTTCATCAAAATCCTCCAGGTGAGCAGGGGGCATCAGCCCCAAAAAGTTCCTACAAACTGCGGAAGAGAGAGAAGAAGTAAAGGCTGAAGGACTCTGAATTGTGCCTTTGAGAACTTTGGTTCTAGGGGATGATGGGGGGCACTGTTATTGGGCAATTAAATGTAACTGGGGATGGTTAAAAGGGTTAAAAGATTGACACAGTTCATAAGAAGTACAAAGATGAAAAGTCTGAATGAAGTATAAAAAGCTAGTTGGAGATCTCCTCTCTTGGGTTTTTAGTTAGTAGTGGGTTCTTTACTTTCTCCCTTATATGTAGCTTTCCCTTTCCCTTTTTTCTGTTCTAGTTTTTGTAGTATACCATTGCAAAAGTTTCCTCCGTCTTCCGCTGAAGGCTGCCGTGATGCCTAAGATAAGAATGTTACATGATATTATCAAGCTAACCGTAAGGCGTTTTATACAATTTGAACTGAGCTTGGAGAACAGCAGACACTTCCCCTTCTCAGCCGGAACTGGCAAAGTGTATCTGCAAGTCTGCTGCCGTTCCAGGCCAGGACAAGGGACAGTTGCCATCTTCCGCTCAACAAGGCTAACCCCGGAAACTGTCTCTATTGAAGACACCACATTCAGCTGCATGGAGAGGAAGTCCATGGGATCTCCGGAAGGGGGCTTTGGCTCTTGAAACCTCCTACCCTGGAAATTGTGTCTGTTCCTAAGTTGCTACAGGACTTGGATCTGGTTCTTCTACTGCAGACCAAGATGGCTACCCTCTGAAACCATCTTCCAGTCACCGTATCTGAAGAAAGCTGATCCTTCACAGGTAGGTGTCAATCTCATCACCCACTAGCTCATTTTCTGGGGGCAGGAAATACATTTTGCACAACCAGTCGTCTGATTCACAGGGGCTCTTGAAGGCTGTAGATGTTTCTCAATGGAGATGCCAGAGGATGAACATACTGCATTCCACAGGCACCCTTCCTTCAGAGCATCTCCAGGGATCATGGAGACTCCTTGTCAGCTGGAAGAAACTGTCCTGGAATGTCTCATAGTGTTGTTCCACTCAGCACAAGGCAGTGTCATATGTTCATGTGGTATGGTGGTTAAGAGTGTTGTTGGACCAGTATCTGGGAGTCCTAGGTTCAAATACCCGCTCATGCCATGAAAACTCACTGGGTGACCTTTGGCAGGTCATGTTCTTGAATCCTGACGTCCCTCACAGTATAAAATTGAAAGTATAAAATTGAGGAGAGGAGAATGAGGCGAGCCACTTTGGGTCCCCACTGGGGAGAAATGAGGGTTATAAATAAACTAAATAAAATCAATGTATGAAAAATGATCCACAGTGACCTTTGAAAAATTCTTTATCCTGATAGGTTGGATAAGATGTTTTAAATAAAGGAAAGATGTATGCCTGGATTTGAGTCCAGTACCTTAGAGACCAACAAGATTTCCCCCACAAACTTGTGGGTCTCTAAGGGGATACTGGATTTGCATTTAGTGGTTAAGACGCTGAACTGCAGGCTGTGGAAGGTCGGTAGTTCAGCAGTTCGAGACCTGAGTGCCGCATGACAGAGTGAGCTCCCGTCTCCAGTTCCAGCTCCTGCCAATCTGGCAGTTCGAAAGCAAGAAATTGCAAGTAGATAAATAGGGACCACTTTGGTGGGAAGGTAACAGCGTTCCGTGCACCTTGGTGTTTAGTCATGCCGGCCACATGACCTCAGAAACATCTTTGGACAGCGCTGGCTCTTCGGCTTGGAAACGGAGATGAGCACCGCAACCCTAGAGTCGGATTTGACTGGCTTTCGAGCAAGGGAACCTTTAAGGGGCTACTGGATTTGCATTTAGCTGATCTAATATAGGCAGACGTGGGTACCCTCTGAAACTACATCTTTGTCTCGGTTATTGACAGACTCTAACACACGGGAGCTCTACGCTTCCCAGATGTTGCAGTGTGATCGCGCCTGGAAAATCCGCCTATCTTCCGTCTCTGTAGCATGGCTAATGCTCCATGTGACCGCAGCCTAATATAGCCAGACGTGGCTACCCTCTGAAACAACATCTATGTCTCGGTTATTGACAGACTCTAACCTATCCCATTTTTTGGCTGATATCCCTGAAAGGGTCCTTCCCATCCCCCTCTCTCCCTTTCTCTGATTCCGTTCCAGTTTCCTCATATTGTCTCTGTTCTCTCAGTTTACGAGGGTAGCTGTTCTAGCATCATGTAAAACCAATAGATTAGAGTCCAGTTGCACCATAGAAGCCCATGAGATTCTCGGGGCATAAGCTTTCAGGAGTCAAAGATCCCCTCTCCAGATATCTGTGTCACCATCAGTATTTCCCCTGCCTCATTAATGCTTCTCCAAAATGGTGGACCAAGATTATGTAAGCCTCCCTCTACAGGCTCCTCGTGTTTGCGGAAGGACAGCACAAGGAGTGTGTATTAAATGGGTGATAGGAGCCTGCCAGCTCTTTTCTGTTTGCTCCACTGTAGCCATGTAAGAAATGGGGGTTGTGCTGTGGAGCCAATAACAGCTCAAGAGAGTACTTTGAGAGACAAATAAAGCAGTTCAGATAGTCGGGAGTAATTTTTTTTAACATAATAAAGGCTTGTCAGTCCAATGAAAATACACACTTACCTTGGCCAGTTGCAGCATGTCTCCTTGTTGGAGTGGGCAACTCAGCTGGACACTGCGGTTGGCTGTATCACTCTAAGCGTGTATAGGTGTTATCTCCTTGAATGGGATGCCTCTCTTTGTCTTAACCTGGGAGCTTCCTTCTTACCCCTCCTCTCTCTCTCCCTGTGTTCTTTCACTGTCTCTTCTCACATGTCCTTCAATGGAGATCCCGGTCTCTGCAAGTCTCTCCTTTAAATGCCCAGCCCCTCATACTTCCACCACGCACATGATGCCCGACAAGTTGGCCATCTGTGATAGGGAAAGTACTCTTTAGGGTAGGCTTCTCTTTCCAGCCAGTTTGGTGCAGTGGTTAAGTGTGCGGACTCTAATCTGGGAGAACCGGGTTTGATTCCCCACTCCTCCACTTGCACTTGGCTGGATGACCTTGGGCAAGCCGTAGTTCTGATAAGAGCTGTCCTGGAAAAAGAGCAGTTTCTGTCAAGAGCTCTCCCAGCCCCACCTACCTCACAGGGGGTGTCTGTTGTGGGGAGGGGAAGGGAAAGGAGATTGTAAGCCGCCCTGAGACACCTTTGGGTAGGGAAGGGCGGGGTATAAATCCAATCTCTTCTTCCTCTTCTCCTCCTCACTGCAATCTGAATTTATTTATTTATTTATTATTTTCTATTTATTTCCTGCCATGCCTGCAATGAATGTGAACTGGATCTACTTAGTTTACCTTTTTTCTGGTAATATCCTCTGTTCCTCTTCCTCCATCTCCATTCTGAGTGTCACGGGGGGAGGGGGATAACAAAAAACAAGAATTGAATCGTTCATGGTTTCCTTTCTCCTAACAGAAATGTAAAGACAAGTCAAGACCAGAATCCTGAAAGAAGAAACTGAGCATCATAACTAATATCCAGCCCGACAACCCTTCCCATTATGGATGCTGCCCTGGATCATTATGATCACCCAAGTTATACTTACTCTTTTCTCCCGAATGACAGTATCAATTATGGGAACGTTTCAGAAGAGATTTCATCTCGTAATACCACTGATGTTGAAAGCCACAATAGTATCGATGATAGTGTAGGTATTCGTATCTCCGTATTGGTCATCTGCATTCTTGGAGCCGTGGGGAACGGGATTGTCATCTGGCTTCTCGGCTTCCGTATTAAGAGGAATCCTTTCAGCACCTACATCTTGAACTTGGCCGTCGCTGATTTCGGGGTCCTCCTAACAGCTATATTTTTTGTTGTTTATTCTTGGGTTGGATTTATTCATGATACTCTCATTATACTCTTTGTCTTCTTTTTCCTATTCCTATCGACATACAGCAGTAGTCAATTTCTGCTGACGGCTATCAGCATCGACAGGTGTGTGGCCGTCTTCTTCCCACTTTGGCATCGATGCCACCGGCCACCGCATTTGTCTACTATTGTATGTGCACTGATTTGGGTCCTCTCCTTCCTGTTTACCGCGGTTACCTACACTCTTCTGCTTCTTAATTTAGAGGGGGAAAAGATGGCAGGGTGTGTTCAGTTTATTGTGAATGCTGTGCTGTGCCTCCCGGTCATGACGATTGCCACTGTGGCCCTCTTCATCAAAATCTGTTTGAAAGCACGACAGCATCGGAGGGGGAAACTTTTGACCATCATCTTACTCACCCTTCTCTTCTTCCTCCTCTTTGCTTTTCCATTGAATGTCATGTTCATCCTCTGTATTTTCAATCACTTACCATTATACGCATCAGACAGTGCACTGCTATTTGCCTGTTTAAATAGCAGTGTAAACCCAGCTATTTATATCTTGGTTGGGAGGCAATGGAAGTCTACACAGAGGGAGAACATGAAGATGATCCTCCAGAAGGTTTTCAAAGAGGAAAAAAGTTGTACGGATGGAACCCGAGTTGAAACCCAGTTGTGATGTCATTTCGCAGAAAAAGAGGTGTAGGAGCTCATTTGCATATGCCACACACCCTGACCTCACCGGAAGTGTGTCAGAAGGCAACACCCACAGCGCAGGCTCCACTGGACTGTTTTGGATTGCTAGCTATTGGGGGGGGGGACATGCAGATCTGTTATCACAGAGGAGGGTGAGCTTGTACCTGAATAAAACCTGGTCTTAAAGGTGCCACTGGACTGTTTTGGACCGGGGGCTCTGCAGCTTACCTGGCTTCTTCTTGGTCTGACTGAGGGCTTCTGGGAGCAGGGGGTGGGGGGGGGGGCTCTGCAGCTTACCTGGCTTCTTCTTGGTCTGACTGAGGGCTTCTGGGAGCAGGGGGTGTGGCTTGTTGCATGTGCCCGCCCCCTGGGCTCTTTACTGCTGGAGCTCCGCTCCTGTGCGCTCCTGCAGGAAATGACCCCTGGTGATGCCCATTCCAAGGGCCAAAAGCTGCTTTCTTTCTCACAGGCAGATTCCATTGTACTTAAATGACATATAAGGAAAATCTGTAGAGTTATGACAGTTCTGTGTCAAAGTTTTAAAATGAATTCTCTGTCTCTAGACAGCCCCCCACTATCCTTTGGCAAGGCACAACCCAACTTCAACTGAGGAGAATGGCCTTAGAATGACAGGATTGTTCTTTTGTATTCCTTCTTCCCTGCCATAAGAAACTGGAATCCAGATATGTTCCCCTCACCAAGTCAAAAGAAGCCAGCCAGCCCCCCCCCCAAAAAAAGGAACCATCAGAGCACTCCCTTTTTCGGCAGTTCTGCTCTGCACCACCGGAGATGCAACATCCCTAGGGCGGGATTAAGGCCAACTGATGCACTAAAGAAAGCCCCACAATGGTGCCCGTTGGCCCTTCCATGACTTAACTGACAAGATGGAAGCAAAATGTGATCTCCGACAACACCTTTAAAGTAGAACAAAGCCGATAAGGACAATCACAAAAATTGACTGAAGTCATAGAATCATAGAATGTTAGAGTTAGAAGGGATCTAGCAGGTCATCTAGTCCAACCCACCTGCACTCTGCAGGAGCATAGCCGAAAGATAGCCCTACATAGTCGAGGGTGGCGGTGATAGAGTTAAGGGCAGGAAAGCTAGGGGGGAAACCTCTGTGGTGCCCCCCTTCCGCTGATGCCCTAAGCACGTGCTGATCTTGCTTAATTGTCAATCCGGGACTGCCGATGCCCCTCCCCCTCAGGCTCCATCTCCAAATCTCCAAGAATTTCCCAACCTGGAGCTGGCAACCCTCCTCTCCACCCTTTTTCAAGATTTATTTTCCATCTGACAATTCTGACATTTTGAACTCATTTTTTATTTCACACAATAATCGAGCTGGAGAGACTGAGAACGGAAAGGCAGAATGTTAATATATGAAAGGGGAAAAAATGTTTCATTGGATCTGGGCCCACAGAGCCTTTTAGGACCAAGCCTTTTTTGGGCATAAGCCTCGGGCGGAGGCTATCTTGATGTCTAAGATTAGAACTTTTCCCCAGATGATATCAAGCTAACGGTAGGATGTCATATACAATTTGAGCTGAGCTTGGAGTACAGCAGACGCTTCCCCTTCTCAGTGGGAAATGGAAAAGTCCATCTGGAAGCCCGCTGCCATTCCAGCCCAAGACAAGGGACGATTGCCATCTTCCACTCAACAAGGCTAACCTCAGAAACTGTCTTTATTGAAGGCAACACTTTCAGCTGCATGGAGCGGAAATCCATGGGTTCTCCGGAAGGAAGCTTTGACTCTTCAAAGCTCCTACCATGGAAATCTTGATGGTTTCTAAGGGGCTCTTGGACTAGCTGTTCTACTGCAGACTAACTATCTCCTGAAGCTCTCTTCCAGTCACCATATCTGAAGAAAGCTGATCCTTCACAGGTATGTGTCAATCTCGCCTCCCACCGCCTCATTTGCTGGCGGGCAGGAAATGCATTTTACACACTGCCAGTCATCTGATTCACAGGGGCTTTGCAAGGCTTTAGGAGATTTCTTTCTTTCTTTCTTTCTTTCTTTCTTTCTTTCTTTCTTTCTTTCTTTCTTTCTAGATTTTTAGTTGAATTTTTAGAGGGATACAGAATGGGGGGGGAAGGGAAAGGGGAGGAAAGCATAAAAATATAGTTGTCAAAATCACAATGTTAGGTCAATCTTACAAATGTTAGGGACATCCCTTAATCAAAATGTATATGTGTACAATAACAGGGGGGAAAACCAGAAAGGAAAATATGACATTGTAGCTTAGAAAATATATAGAATTGTAACTTATAATTATATATGGCTATATATATATATACATACTAGGAGGAATGCCCGTTGCGGGAAGAGGCAATGAGCCCTAGGGAGAGCAGTCGCTGCGGGGCAAGGGGGCTGTGCTGCCCCCCCGAATCTGTCCCGGGGTGGGCCATGTGGTGGCCTCACCCCTCCCCGAGCACAGCCAGGGCAAGTGGAGCCCTCCCCCAATGCAGGGCCCACTGCCTGGACAGTGAAGGCTGCTCCGAGCAAGGGAAGCATGGCGCGGCGGCCAGAGAGAGGCCTGGCAGCGGGGAAGGGGGCTGGCCTGCTCCCCCTTACAAGAAGGGCCCGCCACCTCCATTGCCGAAGCCACAGCAGGTGGGGGAAGCGAGTCGTAGCCGCCTCCCCTGTCCCCAGGTCAAAAGAGGGAAGTCCCCCGAAGAAGGGGCTGCTGCCTAACTGTCCCCGGCCGCAGCAGGTGAGGGAAGGGCGGCGCGGCCGCCCCCCCCCATCCCGGAGGCAAGGCAGGCCTGGTGGAGGGCCCCCGCCTCTGAAGAAGGTGTTGGAGTGAGGTGGACCAGGCGGGCAGTCGGGAATGACCTCCTCCTCCACCATCCCCAGTCTCTGCTGTCCCCCTCGATGACAACCCGGTTCTCCGGGACCGCTGCACCCTCCTGGTGCCGTCCCTGCCTTCACTCCCAACCCAGCACCATTGCCTGGCATTGCAGCCTCCCTTCCCCGGCTCCTGGCTGCGGCGTTCACTCACAGTGTTCGCCTCCCACCTCCCAGCCAATGGCATGGCAGCAGCCTTGAGCAGCAGCTGGCTGGCCAATGGCTGACGGAGCGCATTTTGTCCCTGCTGCGTCTTACTCAATTGAGTAAGACACACACACACATAAATAATTGAGTAAGACACACACACGAACACACACACACACACACACATACACACATACATACATACACACACACGGAGGAAGGCCTGTTGTGGGAAGAACTACAATGAGCTCTAGAAAGAGGCTACAGGTGAGTGGCTGTGGTTGGTGGGGTGGCGGAGGGAAGGGGAAATTAGAGGGAGGCCAACCATGTTTATCTCCTTTTGCTTAGCTATAAGGCAGGGTTTTCTCAAGTCATTTTGCTGCCTCAGGTGGGTAGTGTGGGAGGAGAGCCACATGGTAACAGATATGGTTCCCTCTACCCCTGACTTATGTTGGTTTGGGGTTATGCAGTGGCAGCTAAGGTAGGAGTGCACTTCCTCCTATGCCATCTTTTCTGGGTTCCAAGGGTCTGGAAAGTGGTTGTGTAGTCAGGTACAAATTTGCCAACTCTGGGTTGGGAAATACCCATAGATTTGAGGGGTAGAGCTTGGGAAGGGCAGGGTTTGGGGTGGGGAGGGACCTTAGCAGGGTATAATGTCACAGAGTCCACTGCCCAACGCAGCCATTGTCTCCAATGTAATAGCTGAAGATCTCCTAGAGGTTGGCAATACTTAGGGGAGGGCTTTAGTGAAGGTTTAGTGGGGGCTTTAGTTGAAGGACTTTAGTGAAGTATACTGCCATAGAGCTCACCCTCCAAAGCAACCATTTTCTCCATGGGGACAGATCTCTTTAGTGTGGAGGTCAATTGTAATTCAGGGAGATGTCCTGCGCTTTTCCCCCCAACTCCTGTTGAACAGTTTAACTGATTAACACTACAACTGACACTCTGCTAATGCCCCACAGCCTCTTGGGACTCCCAGCTTGGGAGCTGTAGTTCTAATTCCCTTTGCTATGGCTGCAGTAAGGCCAGCTGAGAGCTATAACTCCCAAGGTACAACACATCAGAAGTGGGGGTATAAGAATGGAACAGCTGGTGGGATGGGCAAATAGGCACCAAGGTAGATTCTCCAGTGGCCAATGGGAGAGTAGGTAAGTTGTCACCAACATGGCTTGGCTTTTATATATTAATAGGAATAAGACCCATTGTGGAAATAAATACACTAGATGGGTGCCACAGCCTTGGGCACTCAGTGTCAATTTGCTGTGGCAATCTCAACAGGGTATAATGATAGAGACCACCATTTTCTCCAGGGGAACTGATCTCTGCCATCTGAAAAGCAGTTGTAATTCTGAGTGGTCTCCAGCCCTCACCTGGAGATTGGCAACAACAGTTCCCAGGGAGGAAATGGCTGGTTTGGAGGGTGGAGTCTATGGATCTGGCTGAGGTCCCACCCCTTCTCAAACCCCAGTCTATTCAAGCTCCACCCTCAAATCTCCAGAAATTTCCCAACCTGGAGTTGGCAACCCCTCTCCTCCCCAGCCAACCATCATCCTTCTGTTATCTGCCCCCTGACCTCAGGTTTCCAACTCTTCCCTGCTCCCTGCAACCTCTACCTAGGAAAAGTAGTCTTTCTCCCCAGTGGGGACCAAAGCAGCTCACATAATTCTTCTCTCCCTCTTTTGATCTGCACAACAATCCTGTGAGGTAAGTTAGGCTGAAAGTATGTGAGTGGTCCGAATCACCCAGTCAGCTTCCATAGCAAGAACCTGAGTCTGGCAGACCCTGCACCATATCAGCAAGGTATAATGACACAGAGTCCACCATTTTTTCCAGGAGAACTGATCTCTGACATCTGGAGAGCCGTTGTAATTACAAGTGATCTCCAGCCCCCACCTGGAGATTGGCAACAATGGTTCCACAGGAGGAAAAGTACAGTCTATAGACATGTATGATCTGCTGTTTTTTCCCCGTTTGCAGGGTGGCACTCCCAGAAGGTCCTACTCAGATGAGCAAAGCTATTGTGGTAGAGCAAAGGAGGAGAAGCAGTTCTGCAGGTATGGGGGTCCAAGGCCATGAAGGGCTTTGCATGTGATAGGAAGTGCCTTGAAGTGAATGGTTCTGAATCCTGATTAGGGATGGGCACAAATCAAAGCACAAAACAAAATTTGTCAGGAATTTTGCCTGTTTGTGGTTCTCAAATAAAGTTACAAACTTCCCTGAACTTCTAGAGTTGGAAGGGAGCTTCAGGGCCATCTAGTCCAACCCCCTGCACAAAGCAAGAAATTGAAAAGATTGAAAAGACTGCTGTCCAAAAAAATCTAAGGGTTTTTTTTTGTCTTGGAGATTTGTGTTTGAAACTGATTAGCCATATATGAGTGTGTCTTTTACACATATATCTATTATTTATGTATTCATTCATTTTGAATTGTCCTTTTTATCTGTATTTATGGTGACTGGTCTTATGACCTCAATAAACTTTTGCCTTTTTGAAACCGATTATCTAAACAAATTTCAATACATTGTCTAGCCTGGCTATATTTCACAAACTACCCTAGTTATCCTGATGAGTGATCTACGCTGATCTACTACCCAGTGTGTCTTTCCATGTTATTTTCCTGCACCTTCCAACAATGGCTACTTTTACATGTGTAGGACAATGCATTCTTGAGGCACTGCTTCAATTGTTTGCCACTGGAGCTTCCCCTCTCACTGACTGAGTGCCACCATGCATGGCATCTTTCTTGGCTGCCTGCCAGTTATAAGTCTGGTGTCACTTGCCAGTGTTTACAGTTGCTGTTGAGCTCTTCCGGGGGGCCAAATGATGACATTAGGAATTTGCCCTGTTTGTGGTTCTTGAACTAAGTTCATGACAGATCTAACATCATGAATTTCCATGAATTTTTAGAATCATAGAGTTGAAAGGGTCATCACTCCCTTACACAATGCAGGAAATTCATGAATACTTCCCCCCACGGCCCCAGTGACCCCTGTTCAATGCCCCGAAGATGACAAAAAGCAGTTTGTGTTGATTTGAGGTGGTTCATGGATAGAGTGGAAAGCAGGGGTTTAAAAGGGCTCCGAGTCCCTTTAAACCCCTGTTTTCTGTTCACCACGAAAGCAGCAAAAACCACTCAGTGGTGAGGAGCAAGTTGTTCCCCCTCACTCAGCTGTATTTTTTGGCTTTCTGCAAACCGTTTAAAGGCCTGCAGTCGCTTTCAATGGGGATTGCTAGGCGATGAACTACGAACCGATTCGGTTCATGAACGAACTTCCCAGTTAAATTCTTCATTTGGTTCTCCCGAAATTACAACCAACCTCCAGGCTACAGAGATCAGTTTCCCTGGAGAAAATGGCTGCTTTGTAGGGAGGGCTGTGTGGTGGTATGTACTGACAATGCCTCTCCCCTCCTCATACCCCACCCTCCCAAGGCTCCATCCCTAAATCTCTCAGGATTTCCCAACCTGGGGTTGGCAACCCTACTCTCCAACCTGATTCAGGATTTATTTTCCGTCTGCCGATTCTGACATTTGTGTATGGATTTTTATTTCACATGTTTTATTTATTTATTTATTTATTGCATTTATATCCCACCCATCCCTTACATGGGCTCAGGGCAGGTAACAACTCTCCCATATATACAATACAATTTTATAAGTATGATAATCCGGTTGGAGAGATTGAGGAAGGAAATGGAATGGCAGAAAGCATACGGAGCAGACGTCCATCACTGGCTATTAGCCACAAGGTATCAGATAGGAACTCTCGGGCTGGGGCAAGTGATGCTCTGTATTCTTGGTGCTGGGGGGGCAACAGCGGGAGGGCTTCTGGTGTCCTGGTCCCACTGGTGGACCTCCTGATGGCACCTGGTATTTCTGGCCACTGTGTGACAGAGTGTTGGACAGGATGGGCCATTGGCCTGGTCCAACATTGGCTTCTCTTATGTTCTCATGTTCTTAATGTTAGCATAACAAAGAAATACTTTTCTTCAGATCTGGGTTCACAGTGCCTTTTTAGGCCATCAGGCTCCCATTGCAAAAGTCTCCATCTGCTGCTGAAGGCTGTCTT